ACTCTTGGGGGCCTCCTGAGGGCCTCGTGGGGGCCTCTTGGGGCCTCTTAGGGGCCTCTTGGGGCCTCGTAGGGGCTTCTTAGGGCCGAGGGCTCGAAATGTTGTTTCGTGTTCCCTCTCTGGGGCCCCTTTCTCGAGCCCTCTTGGGCCTTCTTGGGGCCCTCTTGGGGGCCTCTTGGGCCCTCTTGGGGCGATCTTGGGGGCCTCTGGGGCCGTCTTGGGGCGTCGGGAACCGAAAAGGTGGAAGCTCCAAAATCTCTCAAAAACCTAGGAAAAACAATGAATTTTGCCTCCGGGGGCCCTCTTGGGAGTGCTCTTGGAGGCCTCTTGGGGCGTCTGGGGGCTATCTTGGGCGTCTTGGAGCGATCTTGTGGCATGTCGGACCCCTCGTGTACCATCTTGGGGGCCTCTTGGGGGCCTCTTGGCCTTCCTTGGGGCTCTCGGGGACGTCTCGGAGCCCTGTTGGTGCGCTCATGGAGCGCTCCTGGAACGCTCTGGGGGAGTCTCCCGGGGATCGGTCGGGGATCGCCCGGGGTACTTTTCGTCCGGGGACCCCCAGGGGCCGCCCCGCGCGCGCGAACTAGAGAATTGTTAACCAGTTACCGGAGATCTTAGCACGCCTCTGGCCCGTTGGGCCGGCGAATTATGGGCCCAGAAGAGGTCCTAGAATCCGAAATGCGTCGCCATTAGGGACATGGCGATATTGAAGTCTCATCGCATAATATCTTCGTTCGAATGCAGAACTCATACCAAATTTGTCATGCCTCATGATCGTCCTTACCATCGTCCTTTGCGATGCAGCGCGGTCTGGGATCCGCTTCTCTCCTTCCCGAAATCGGTGACGCATCGTCGACGCGGTGCGATGTTTGGCCTCCCTTGGATGTGGAGCCCCAGACTCCCTCTTTCTGCGCCACCTCTCGAGCCGGATCGATCCGTGAGGGGCCTGGGGCAGGAAGGCGAGGCGCAGAGTCGCCCGTTGTGACCCCAGCGCCACCGCCCGGAATCGAGGCTGTCTCGCCCCCCTGAAGGGGCCCTGAGACACACAAATCAATACGCACAACAAGAAGGATTCCCCATATTGTCCCCTATGTTTTCGGGGTTTTCGTCTTCCCCCCCCCCCTCCCCTATTTCCCCATGTCTTCCGGGGGATCGACGATTCATGGTGTCTGTGTATTTTTTTTCCCTCCTGACCCCCCCCACCCTGGGCCGCCCAGCGCCGCAGCCCGCGGCGCCGCGCTCCACCCTCCTCTTCCTCCTCTTCTCCCCCTCTTCCTCCTCCTCTCCCCCCTCCTCCGCCTCCTCCGCCTCCTCCTGCTCCTCATTTTCCTCCTCCTCCTCCTCCTCCCTCCCCCTCCTCCTCCCTCTCCTCCCCCCCCCGCTCACCTCGCTCGACTCCGCCCCCGCCCGCGAGCATGGCCGCCGATGCCCAAGCGCCGGGCGCGGCGGGAGGGCGGGGCCGCCCGTGGCGCCGCGCAAGAAGAAGGCGACGAGGCGGGGCCTCCCGCGCGGCCGGAGGCGGGGTCGAGCAGTAGCGAGGCGCCCCGGCTGGCCTGTCAGCGCAGACCCCCCAGGTGGGGTTCGGGGGCGGAAAAGAAGGGGGTGATGACTAGGGGGGGGTGGATATCATGGCGTGGGCCATGATATTTCCCCAGATTTCATGGCGCCCCTTCTTGTTTCCTTACGTCCCTGGCCCCCCCGCTGGGCCGCGCACATGCCGCCGGTCATGATTTGCACCCCCCCCTCTTGGACACCCCCCTCTTTGCCGCCCCCGAGGGGTGGGAGGAGATGTCAAGCAGTGGCGCAGCGTCCCGGCTCGCCTATATGGCCCTGCCAAGCAGTGTTCCAAGAACCTGTTTTTGTGGTTTCCGCGACATGCTCTCAGAACCTTTCTGGCGGAGTCTGTCTTGTTTTCATACAGCGGATTTATGTTCTAAGAACACTGTTTGGTTCTTAGAACATGTTTGGGTTCTAGTGGTAGGGCTATAGAAATGCTAGGACGGTCGGCCCATGCTCAATAGATGGGGTCGGAGGGTCGCGCCGTATCGGCGATGCATCGGCGATGCATCGGCGATGCATCGGCGATGCATCGGCGATGCTGCTCGATGTGGCGCACAGTTCTCTCCACGCCGACGTCGCGGATGTACCGCCGACGTCGCCAGTGCATGGCCGATGCATCGCCGATGCATTGGCGATGCATCGTCGATGTATCGGCGATGCGGCGCGATCCTCCGACCCCATCTACTCGGACCCCATCTGGGAGCCTTCTAGTAAGAGTGCTCCAAGAACCTCTTGCTGGCTCTCAGAACATTGCTGGCTGAGACTATGTCTTGGGAACACAGCGGCTGCACGTTCTGTCTGAGCACTGCTGCCGTTCACAATCATTCCTTCGTTCGATGCGCACGTCGTGGTAGGCCGGTTGGAGTGCCTGCCGGGACGGTCGGTCCCTGTTCAAGCCAGGGGCAACGGCAGAGGGGGGGGCTCGAGGCTCCAGGTGTTCGGGCGGTTTCCGCGGGCCGTCGCCAAGCTTTTTCGTTGTCTTCGCAGGGCCTCGGGCCCCAGGAACCTCACGGACCGATCGGGCTGGCAAAATGCGGCGGGGAGACGGAGTCTGGGGCTTTGGCTGTGAATGTTCGCGATGCTGTACGGTAGGTTCGTGCGGCGTTGGCGCGCAGGCGACGCCGGCGACGGCGTTCAAGGTTGAATTTTACGATGCGGAAGCACCGATGTACGCGTTAACGCCATTGGACCCGACTGAATTCAACCTTGAACGATCGGGGCCGCGATCGGTTCAAGGTTGAATGATCGAGGCGGTGTCAAAAACCTTTGCGCGCGCCGACGTCGCGCGAACCTACCGTAATTTTGTTCGCGACGTCGGGTGCCACGGAACAGCCTGGAGGACTGCGGCATTCGGACGTGTGCGCGGGTGCTCGTCGGCTCGCCAGCCTCGGGGTGCCGTCCGCCTGGATCGCCCCGAACGGCCGCAGGAGAGCCGAGTGGGGCCCCGAAAGCCAGCGGGCATTGGGGGGAGAGGCTTGGGTCGGCGTCTCCTCCTCCTCTTCCTCTTCTTCCTCTTCCCACCAGACTTGACTACAAGCACTGCTAGACCACTTCTGCCACCACTAGACCACCACTGCCACCACCGGTAAGATGTCGGGCTTTCTGGAATCCCTCGGAACCAATGTCTTACCACGAAAAACCCATGCGATTACCAGGGCTGGACCTAAACGGTGTTTTTGGTGATTTTGTGGGCCGCTTTCGTTTCGAATTCGTTTTGCTGTAAAGGCGGATTCGTGACAAAAGCGAGGGAAAACGAAAACAAAACGAAAACGAAAAACACCGTTTAGGTTCAGCCCTGGCGAATACAATGCAACGCCCGTATCTCAGGGATTCCAGCCGACTGACGGCCTCCCGAGGCCACAAGGAGATGGGCGTTGGCGGTCTTACGCCAGGCCCCCGTGGCGCGAGGGACTGGCGAGCTGGAAGCATTTCTGGCTCCTTCTCCTCCTCTTCCTCTCCTTCCTCCTCCTCCTCCTCCTCCTCCTCCTCCTCCTCACCCCTGGCTGGGAGGTCGCCAGCCAGATTTCGGCGAAACGCGACCTGGCAAACTGCGAAGAACGGCAAAAATGCACATGGCCCAAGAAGAGAGAGTGGAGGGGGAATGGGACGTGGGAAAAGGATGATGCCTTGAGATCCGACGTCGCGAAAAAGATGCAACGCCGTGAGAAATCAGCCCCGTAGACGTCTTTCTGCGGCATTGCTCGAGCCGGATCGATCCGTGGAGGGATCGGGGGTCCGAAACCGGGCGACAGCGCGCGTGAAACCACAGCGCCCCATCCTCAGGGTGGGAGGAAGAGCCTGACCCCCGGGCTGCAAAGGCCCCGTGCTGAAGCGGTGTTTCCAAAACCCCGAAAGACTTCACCGTACGGTCCGCCACCGCGTGGTTTTACGACCTCGGAGGCCCCAGCCGCCTTGAGGCATCATTGGGCAACGCTTCGAGTTCCCAAGACGGCACGATCACCCCGAAAACGCATTTCCTCACCACACGGTGTTGTCACCTCACCGTTGGGGGGCCCCCGAGTCACCACGGCTCTGGATTCCTTGGCTCGGCAGGGGCCCCTGCCTGCGAGAGGCGGCCGCCGGGGTTGCGCCAGCGTTGTCGAGGCTGCCAAGGCAGCGCGGTGGCGGTCCGCCGGGTCTGCAGGCCACCCAGGGAGTCCAGACCCTGAAGGGGGCCTTGCCCAAATCTTTACGCTGCAACTTCGGGGGACTTTGCCTGTCCTGTAAATGGCGGTCTTTTCTTTTGGTGCGACGTGCGTTCGGCGCGGACTCGAGGTGGATTCGGCGTGGGCTCGACGCGGACTCGATGCGGATTCGACGCAGATTCAACGCGTTCAACATGGATTCGATGCGGATTCGACGCGGCTAGCTGCGCGCTGAAACAGACACGGTCCCAATATTTCCGACGATACGAATGTTGTTCAATCCCGGCGTTGTTTCTTGATTTCGGCCTCCTCGGCGGCCCGTTGTCGGGCCTTGGGGCCTCAAGAACCGGATCGGGGACGAACAGTGTGCCTTGGGGAAGCGGTCGGGAGTTCTGGGACGCCGATTGAAACATCATCTCGTCGGATGTCTGGGTTCATGGCCAACTCGAAATATCTTGGGGTTTTCTTCGGGCTCCCTGGATCCATGCTGGGGGCCATGCCGAGCCCACCTGAAACATCGTGCCCCATCTCGGAGGCCGTCGTGGACAATCTGGGGCCATTTGGGAGCCATCTTGAGCAGACCTGTGACACCGTGCCCCCCCCCCCGCCCAGCCCCGTCTGGGCCCTCGGGAATAGGTCATTCAGTGGGCGCAGGGGTGCGCCCATTACCCAAGAGGGCAAAAGTATGTATCTCATACCCTAGACCACCTACGCTCTCAGGGTTCGATAAGACTTCCACAAGCTGTTATATGTGTCTGAGCATAGCATCAGCCAGAGGCTCGTGCTCCATGGCGATCCTGGATCTAGGCTCAATACCTCAGTGATCAGCGTCATTCGAGTTTTTTGGCTTTAGGCCACACTCTTCGCTGCCAGCCATGAGCCTGACTAGCACCTGCTGCAAATGCTCTGCTATCCTGGTTGCTCTGTTCGCAGTATTCGTTGGCGCCCTCTTTTCAGGAGCTTTGAAACAAACAGGTATCTTCCGCTTTGTTGACACGTATCATGGCTCCCGTGGCCAGTTCTTCAAGGGCATGTTTCCCGCAATGCATGAGGGCACCCCGTGGGGCTTCACAGTTGATGAGATTCCAGACCTGACTGGACAGACGATCCTGGTCACGGGTGCAAATGTCGGGCTCGGTTATTGGACTGCATGGCACATGGCAGCAAAGAACGCGACGGTCATCATTGGTTGCCGAAGCCAGAAGAAGTGCAGCGACGCGGCAGCCAAAATCAAGTCCGAGACAGGCGCAGTCGTGGAGACAGCATTGCTGGATCTCGGCTCGTTTGCCTCTGTGCGAGCTTGTGCTGCGCAGGTAGCCTCAAAGCATGCCGAGCTGGACAGTCTTAACTTGAACGCTGGAGTGATGGCGCCACCCTTCGGCCTGACCCAGGACGGACTGGAGACTCAGATCGGCACGAATCATTTTGGCCATTTCTTGTTGACGAGCCTCCTCCTGCCGCAGCTCAAGGCGGCGGCTTCCTCCAAGGGCGTCGCCACCGTTGTGTCGGTCTCGAGTGCTGCCCACTTTGACTCCTACCCAGAGGGCATACTGCCATCCATCGAGCGCATGAACGACGAGATGAGCTACAATCGCGGCATGGCATATGGCCAGTCAAAACTCGCCAATGTGCTTTTCGCTCAAGAGCTTGCCGCTCGCGTCAAAGACAGCAAAATCCTCGTCAACAGCATCCACCCTGGAGGTGTGGACACAGAACTTCCCAGGCACATCGCCAACATGATCAAGCAGGTCTCCGCGACAGCAGCAGACTCGCTGTTAGAATTAGTGGCCAATGCGGTATGGCATCCCAAAGAAGCAGCATTGACGCAGATCTATGCTTCTGTAGGTCCCTCTCTGAAGCAGAACAAGATCACTGGCAAATACTACCACCCCATTGCACGTCTGACGGATCCCGACCCACACACGCAGAACATGACGCTCCAGAAGCTCTTGTGGAAGCTGTCCGAGGAGTACGTAGCAAGCCACTGACGGGTCTGCGGGCACAGGAGCGTTTGCGTTGCCTCGGTCATTTTTAGCACGGGTGATGGTTGCCCTTCGCAGGTTGAGTCCCGCGTGTTCACATATCCAGCCGCTTGCTGAGGCGCAAACATCCGCGGGAAGAACGGGAGGAAGGAAGGAAGATCGAGGACGGAAGAGGGCAAGGGAGGAAGCAGCAACAAAGAGAAACGGGATAGGATGAGTCAGGGGCAACGTTGAGAGGAAAATGCTCAGGGGGGACGTATCGATCGCCAAATCGCTCACTCATCGCCGGTAGAGTTATCCGAACCATTGGATATGTATGCAACTATGAGGTAGCTGCTCTACGTGGTTTCTAGGATCCGAGTGAAGCGGTCCTCTGGCGCCGCTTGGAACGCAGACAGGAGATTGGCCTTCTGCAGGGTCACGGGACCCTGGGGCTCTCCCTCATTTTATCTTGAGTTTGAAGTTCCGCTGGACGTGAGGAAGCTTCGCTCCATTTTCCATCCCTCACTTTAACTTGAGTTTGAGGTTTCGCTGGACAGCAAAACAAAGAGGCTTGATGGCCCACCCCGCCCAAGAAGGTGAGGATTTTCTATCGGGTGCTTATTGTAATGGCCTCCGGCCAGTGCCGCCGATCCGGGGTGCTCCGGATTCGGTGATTTTGTAGTCGCAGGGGACGTTGTTTGGGAGGGAGGGCTCCTGGGGCCGGTAGCGGCTAGATCTGAGGAGGGTCCTTGGGGACCCCCCGAAACATCGTGGGGATACACAAATGATTAATAAGAAAACGCCAGATGTTATCTTGAGCTAACTTGGACCATATTGCGCCATCTTGGAGGCCATCTTGAAGCACTTGTGGCCCTCTCGGCACCGGAGGGCGCGCGCAAGGGATGGTCCCCAAGTGCAGTCTTTTTCCACGCCAGGCTCGGGCGTGTCAGGTGTGGCTTGTTCGCAACCCAGACAGGGTGCGCGGTGCGCAGGGAGTGGTCCCTGAGCGCAGTCTGTATCCACACTGGGGTCGCAGAGCGTGGCAGGTGTGGCCTGACGCCAAGAGGGGGTGCGCAGGAACCTGCCCCTGCACGCAGGGCGCCAGGGCGGTCGCGGGGGCGTCTCCAGCGATCCAGTTTGCCCCGCCTCTATTTTTTTGTTTTCTATAGGCGCACTACAGCGCTGGGGAAAACCATTTGCTTAATTGTCTCCCCAAAATAATTTGTTTACAGTAGTTAGACATTACGAAGAAGAGCTTCGAGATGCCAGGGCTGCTGTCCACCGACGCCCTCTCGCCGACGCGAACTCCGTTTGGAAGAGCAGCATGAGCGATCGTACGCAGATGGCAGCGGACCGCGAAGCGTTCGTGGCCAGCTGGAACGCTGCGCTCAAGGATACTGCATTCACCACGAAGATCTTGCAGGACACGGTCTCTACGGCCGCGTCGCAGATTTACAGTTTCGTGCAACTCTCGAGTTGTCGCTCGCAGACGCGGACGTCCGTGGCCCTGAAGAGGTTGGCAGCCATCCCCGTGATACAGCAATTCGCCAGGAGGTGTCATTGGTTGGACTATTCGCCGCCCGCGTTACATACACATGCATGTGGCGGTGCGTCTTGGCACTGCTGCCGACGAAGACCCTTTTGTGAAGGCCTCGTCACGGACAAAACCGTGAAACTGGCAGGAGATGTCCGAGTCTGCCAGGGATGGCGCTGGCACGCCAGTGCATGTCCAATGCCCAGCAGTGCGCGGCCTTGATGGTTACCCTAAACTTACTCCTCATTCGTCGCTCCCGCGTCAGCCCTTGCACTCACCGACATCGCCCTGGCGGTGCACCCGCCCATCGGGAGCGGCGAACGGGGCGCGGCGCCGCGTTGCCCAGCGCGCGCCAACATATTGGCTGCGCTACTCATGACGGTACCCTGGCTCAGAAGGTTGCGCGCTAGCGGGTCGACGCGCGAAGCATTATTTGTCCCAGGGCACCGCCGGTGATCTCACGCCCAGAGCCGCTGAACAAGTGACCTCAGCCACCAGGCTCACCGTCAGCTGCCCGACGACGCCACGCAAAACGAAGGGGCCGTTGCGGCTGCACCCGGCTCCACCCCTTTGGGCAGCGACAGTTCGCCGAACCAGGTCCACCGCGCGCCTGCCAGCAGCCCGGGCCCCGCCGCGCCTGCAGCGGATCGATCGGAAGTGATCGTGCCTTTACTTGGCACAGCATCTCCGCTTCAACGCGCTGCGCAGCATGAGTACACGTGCGTTTTGACAGCCACCGCCACGCCGATGGGCTTGGCATGCTAAAGACCGATGTGCCATCCACAGGGCACTTGGCGACAATGACAGCGAGCGCCACGAGGGTGACCTGACCGCGCGCTCACCGCAGACCGCGTCCGACACGATCACAATCGAAAAGCAATTCTGCGTCTTCGTTGCGAAGCTGTGGCAGGCACAACTCGCCAGCCACTCGAGAGGTGCTATGTGCAAGTGCCCGGCTTTTGTACTTCTGCGCCGATTCCGCTGCGAGATGCGGGCGCGGCAGCACGCCAATCCAGAGGTCAGCACTACGCAACTGCCCACGCATCTTTGCGAACCAGTCGGCATGCATCGCGGTGGCCTGGCAGGCTGTCTACGCTGTTCTGCCGATCGACGGTGCGCGGCGTCAGGTGCGATGCGTGCCACCAACGCTAATATTTTGGGAAGACAATCAGTACTGGGGCAATTTTGAGCAGCCGAAGTAGGCACGTGCGACACTGCGCCACCTGATGGCTGCATCAATTTTGCACTCGCCACGCCAGTGTCGTTCGGCGTTCACCAGACCGCCGCGACCACCAGTCAACAGCCGTAAATATCAAGCGCTAGCAGCTGGAGACACACTTCCGGAACCAGCTGGACGAATTGTGTCTGCGCGCCTACGACGCAAGGCGCGCGGGCAGTTTCCAGCTGCGGAGCAGCGCAAACGCCGCAACGACCAGCTACGCCCGCCGGCATTTACCAAATAGTGCCGAAGGCGACTGGCTACGCCGGCAGTGCGCAGGATGCAAGACTTGGGAGCGAACCTGGCTGGAAGGCGCGACCAGTGCTGCGGGGTGAGCTACCCAGAGCAGTGTCCTGCTTCTGGCTGCTACTCGCCAACGGCCACTGAGATGGAGCCAGGGCGAGGAATTCATCACTGAACTCTCTTTGCTGCGGGGGGCCGTTACGATCAGACGACCCTGGCCACAGGCAGCGCTTCACACGCGACTGTCTTACCGCATCTCTCCGCGCGTTCTCCCATGAAGACAGCGCTTCGGAAGGACACCTTCCATTGCCCGGTAGCCCCGACTCGAATACGACCCGCGCGCGCGCCCGCCGCCGCCAACGCGTCTCAAGCGTGCTCACGGAGCCAACGAGGTAAAATGACCGCCGTTATGCTGTAGCTGTTGCCGCGTTGTCTTCAACCTTTCAACATTCATACCCGCAATTCCAGTCCCTCCTCATCCGCACTCCTGCTCCGCACTCCCCTCCCGCCTGTGCTTGCCCTTCGCTCGTCCTTTTCGGGGACGCCCCTCACGCGCTAAGTAGCCGCCCCATGCGGAGCTGTGCCCCAGGCCCCAGCGGCGGTGCTCGCATGCTGCCGCGCCTCTTCTGGCACACCCCTCACACTTTTCGTGCCCGCGCCCATGTCGGCACATCCCTCACACGCTTCGTTTCCCCAAGGGAGTTCCACCGAAGGCCCCACAGGCGGTGTTCGCGCGTTGCCTGCCACCGGGGGCGTGTTGGGGTCCTCGTAAGGTTCCTGGGGCCCCTTGGGAACCCTTGGGGGCCTCTTGGGAGCCTCTGGTGTCATCATAGGGGCCTCACTGGCCAGTCTTGAGCCCTCTTGCGATCCTCTTGGGTTGTCCGGGGTCTGGGGCGGGCCATCCTGGAGGCCTCATTCTAGGGACGTGCTGGATTGTGAGAAGCCCGAACAGAACATTCGAACACCCGAGCAAACGAACAGACTCAGTTGTAGCCTGGGGCTTTGGCCAGATAGCACCAGTGCAGTTCTCGAGAACTTCACAATGATGAGCGTGCTGGCCATGCTCTCGCACGGTCAGGGCGCTTCAAGGGACGCGAAGATCATTCAAAATCCAAAGGGTAATCAATGATGCTGGTTTCTTCTGGTCCCCTTGGCGCGTCATGGGGTCCATTTGGATTGTCTGGAGAGCATCCTCAGCCGTCTTGGAGTCATTTTAGGCCGTTTAGGAGGCATCTTGAGAGTTCTCCTGAGCTCTCTTGGGGCTATCTTGGAGGTCTCGTTGTACCACCTTGGAGGGTCCACTGAACCATCTTAGCTGTCTTGCAGGGGCGTTTTCTGGATTGCCCGCGGGATCGATGGACGGTCATTGGGATTTTGTTTGGCAGAGACCAACATACATGACAACTTGCGCCAGGCACACCATAACAAGCAAAGGTGGCGGCAGACGACGGAAACCGCGCATAGCGTACGATCCATGAGCCGGGAGAAATGCAGTTAAGGGGAGCTTGAGGAAGTTGGCATGCACAATTTACCGCAGGGACCTAATACATGTCGTCGACGTCCTCTTGATCTCGCGTTTGCCCCAAAAGCCGATTCCGCTGGGGACATCCTCACACAAAGGAGATGTAGTCGACGTCTCCGTGGTCTCGATCTTTCGCAAAATGCGGGTTTCGTAAGGGGGGTCTTCAACACATAACATGTTGTCGACATCGTCTTGGCATCGCTCTGGAAGGCCTCAAGACGGTCCAACAAATGCCTACAATACTGATCGAGAGAATCACCATATGGCCCAACATGCCCTCCAGACGGCTCACGAAACTCCAGGAAATCAGAAGAGGGCTCCAAGAGGATCCCCGAGATGGCCTCAGGGGGAACAGCTCAGCTTAGCGTTTTTTCATTTTCAAGGCTCTGGCATGCCAAGAGGACTCAAGATGCCGCCGAGATCGTTCCAAGACGGCCCCCCAAAGACGGACCGAGAGTCTCCCAGGCCCTGACGGGGAAAACGCCTCCTGGAGGCCTCTTTGGGGCTGTCTCCTGTTGCTCCTCCTCGCCAGACGTTTCAATCGCCGAAGACGGACGGACGGGCAGACAGGCGGACGACGTGCGGCGCAGGACGGCGACGATGACGACGACCGACGACCGACGACCGACGACGACGACGCGGCCAGCGACAGACGGCGACGACCAGCGACGACGGCGGACGACGGAGCCGCCGCCGCGCGCGCCCTCTCGCGGCAGGCCGCCGATGGCGCGAAGCGCGTCCGCCCCGACGGTGCACGCCCAGCCGCCGCCGCCGCGGCGAACGGCGCCCGACGGCGACGACGGACAATCAGAGCCCCGAATCATCAGGGCTGGAGGCGGTCAGGGGTAGCACATTCGCGCCTGCGCGGCCCAAACCGGAGTTACTCCGGACCGCAGTTATCCCGGATCGTTCGGGCGTCCAACCCGCCCGAAGCATCAGGGCTGGGGGCGGTCAGGGATATAGCTACAGATTCGCTCCTCGGGGGGCCCAAACCGGAGTTCCCCTTGGCGTCCATGACAACGGCGATCGACCGCTGATGACG